ATTTTTATTTCATTCCAAGAAACTACTCTGGGAAGAGTAAATTGAATGGGCAGCAAATTGAACTATTGCAGCTCCTGCTCAGTTTGTGTTGCCTCAATGTTTGCACATCCTCCAGTGGCTATATGACCAAATATCAGAAAGCTACTTCTGTTTGTTTCTTGTTTATATATAGAGTCCACATTTCTTCACTAATGGGCCCAATGAAACATCAATCAAATCCTTCCTAGATCCTTCAAGCCTTGCCTTGACAGATTTATATTACTGGACATCATATCAACAGCTTTCTGACACCAAGGCATTTAGACAGAATTTTGCAGTCTTTATTCAGTTGTTGACTTCACAGCTGTGCTCAAAGGAACAGGCTAAACATAATTATGAGCACATTTTCAATAGGTGGAACTGTATTTTCCAAATCTGTCTATGTAAAATGAACCAGCACAAAAAGTGACGCTTTCTGAAATTTCAGGCTTGATTAACAAAGCAGTAATTTAGCAGTCGGGATGATTATGAACTAAACTGAGATTTCCAAAGCTATTAGTGGATTCTCCAGTTTTATTTACCATTTTCAAGATGATAAATACATTCTTAAACAAATGTGAGTACAAAAATGATGAAAGGCAATTTTCTTCTTTTAACCCACCAGATGTTATCACCAAGAAAAGAAACACCAAGAACCAAGAGAAGTGCCTTGGAAATCAACAGGGAAATAGAACTTACTACCTTTATAACATACTCCATTGTGAACAAGAGATTTATTTTTGCAGATTGACAGACTACTTCCCATAATTCTTCTAACATGCGTTTTGTATGTCGTCAACAGTTTGCAGATTGACATTCTTTACAGATAGCGTAACTGCCAGTAGTACTTAATGCTCCATACTTAAAAACACACTTTACAACTGATGTGTAATGCTGCCAAAAAATACATAAACACAAATATTTCACCAAGAAAATTGATGTTCTGTTGCTTAATTCTACAATTTTAAGGAATGTTTGTATATCTAGAATTACTAAAGATCGGCTCCGCAGTACTTATGGTCACTTGATATCCTTCATGCTTATGCAATTTTTAAAAAGTTTGGTTAAAACAGACTTGCATTGGGGTCACATTGTACCCTAGAAGTACAAGCTGCATGACAAACAGGAACGTAATTCCAACTAAACATATTTTTGGGACAGCGGAGCATGGATTTTGTACACAAACACAAATGCTATTAATTTCCTTTATATAACAAATGTTTAAAACATTCCAGCAAACGTGCAATATGTAAATACTGTAAATAACAAGCATAAGTAATAAAGTGTTTGGTATGAAGTTGTTCTCAAGTTTGCTTTCTGTTCACTGAATCCAGATAAACAAGCTATCTTCTGATAGCTACTATCATTTATCCACACTTAAACCTCCTTTCAGGAAGAGTTGACCGAAGTAAGAAATAAAGGTACACCCACCTCTGAGAAGTCCAGTAGTTTGGACACTCTCTGTACATTTGTGAGGACGGACAGATACGTGTGGCTCAACCCTGCAAAATGCCCAGACCACAAAGCTGCTCCAATTCTCTATTGCATTATAAACCTGATTATTTTTTTACAAGAAATGGTTAAAGAAGGACAATATAACCAGTTGATGTCCAATTAATCATTTTAGTATCATAAAATTTTTAAGGAGTCAGTGAACACTTACTCAAGAAGCTTTGATACACATTTGCCTTTCTTCCTTAAATCACACATTAAATACAGTTGTAAAAATGGCTCAAATAGGAGGAAAAATGTTCTGCGTGATCTGCAGATGAACTTCAGGTACTTTTATGTTAATACTGCCATTTAGCTTTCATTTTATCCTCCATTCCACAAAATGTAAAAAACAAAATCAAAAATCAAACACACTCCTCCCCACCCTGAGAAATAGTTGGAGTTCAGATTACTGACTCACATTTTTAAGAGCCTTCAGCATCTAGATCTTTAGATGAAAAAAATTATAGAAGTACAGAATTCTTCCTAGAACATGGCTGTATTCAGTACAGGAGAAGTACATCTATTGTATTTACTTTCAGTACTCACTGAATGCTGAAGTTTCATTTCTCAATAAGAGTAACACATGCATACAAAAAAACTGATAATTAAAGGAATCCACTGCTACAGCATTAATATAGATGATCACCTACTGTAAATATCTGGGTGGAACTCGATGTTTTGCTGTTGTTCCACTGACTGAAATTAGATCATAACATATTATTTAATATGGGAGTTTAAATTAATATCAATCTTTCTTTCTGTAGTAGGACACCTGAAATCTGGTTAAATAACAACTTCATGCAAAATTTCCTTGTAAAAGGAATGCAGTAATTAATGACTTAATAAATTAATATAAATAAATTACTCCCATGGAAGATTTCTTTAGATTTCACAGAAGTCAGCATGCTGGGTCTCTTTAGCTTGGAGAAAAGGAGACTAAGGGGTGACCTCATCAATATGTAAGGAGTGAGTGTCAGGAAGATGGAGTTAGGCTTTTCTCAGTGATGACCCGTGATACGACAAGGGGCAATGGGTGCAAACTGGAGCATAGGAGGTTCAATGTGAGTATCAGAAAAAACTTCTTTACAGTGAGAGTGACAGAGCACTGGAACAGGCTGCCCAAAGAGGTTGTGGAGTCTCCTTCACTGGAGACATTCAAAACCCACCTGGACGTGTTCCTGTGTGATAAGCTCTAGGTGACCCTGCTCTGGCAGGGGGGGTTGGACTAGATGATCTTTCGAGGTCCCTTCCAACCCCTAGGATTCTATGATTCTATGATTTCACAGTAAATACAACTATCCCAGAGCAGATTATTTTTTTTAGTCTTAGGTATAAGCTTACTATCTAAACTAAAAAAAGTTAAGGTAGGGGAAAGGGGAAAGAAGTGGGTTCTGTATTTTTTCATTCAATGTCATTGTTCATGAGGGGTTTTAAACCTTTAAGAGCTTAGCTATCTGTATGGTACAAAATTTGTGTATCCTAGGTTCATTGTTTCTCTTGGAACCCAAATAATGGTACTATGCAACTGTCCTTCCTGAAAGCTCTTCCTCTTTGGTATTCTTGTATTCCACAAATTCTTTTAAAATACCATAGTGTTCTCTTCCTCTCCTCCAAAAGAAACCCACTAAGGATAAAATCAATTGATCAGCTTTTTCCTCCTAACAGAGCTAGTGAATTATTTCTAGGATTAGATTACTTGCTGAGTATACACCTCAAGACGGAAACTTAAATCTAACACAAGTAGTTTTGACTTAGTATCACATTACAGGAAGATTCCTAAGCCTAGTGAAGGTAAACAACAATACCCTTTAATCTCCTTTCTGTTACCCCAGCAGTTCAAAGATAAGCCTTTTAAATCTTAACTTTAATATATAGAAAGCTATAGGTAGAATTCCTTCTCAGCCACGAATGCAAAAACACAAATAATTAGATTTTCAATCTCCTGAGTTATTTTACTTTCACTGGAATATTTTAAATGGTAATTCTGGCAGAGAGTAACATTAGATTACACCTAAATTCTTGCACTTCTAACATTAGTGCATAAACCCACATTTAAGATGGTTTGTCCCTAAGTGCCCATCATTTTCCCTCATTTAATTTGTAAAAGCATTCATAAAAGGAATAGAAAGTAATTTTTTTTCCAGTCAGTGCTTTATCTGATGTGAAATGCTATCTATGTATTACTCCTTGTCCCTGAAGTGATAACTGCTGTTAACTTGCAAATTCCTAGCTTGTTCTTTAAAAGTCAAAACTATTGGTAATGCAGTTAATGCACAAAGGTCCTGATGTCTGTATTTAAGTGTTCCATCTACCACTTGCCTTTTTGCAAGCAGGTTCTTAAATTTTATGTCTGATTGAAATTTTAGTGCAAAACAGAAACCTCACTAAACACTAACACAGCTGTTCTACAGCAAGTCCCAGAAAACGGAATCTCCATTGTGCAGTCTGCAGCACACACACTGAGTGACACCAGGATTCCTTCATTCCCAGGAGTAACAGGGTCCTCTGGCAAAACACATCCCTCTTCCAGAATGGAGACAGGGTGACAAACACAGGGGCTACTCTACCAGTTTGGAAGACAGTCAGAGGCAAAACCAAGGCCAAATAAGTAAGAAAGCAAGTTTTACAGATCCAGTTTAACAGATAATGTGATAATGCTAGTTCATACCAGTGTTGGTATTATTCAAAGAGGAAAATTATAATGGTATCAGTTACATGACTGATCTCAGTACATTTACATTTCTAAGGCAGAAATGAACAGTGATGTTCAGACAAAAAGGCATGGATTTTTACAAAGCATTCAATTTTTGTCCAAGAGCAGAACTTTCAACTTACTGGCCTCCTGTTAACTTTGTATTATATTACAGAGGAACTGTTCTCATATTGAACTGTACCATCAGAGAACACTTTTGACAGGCTATCCATTCTCCTGAGTAAATCTGGAAGTATGGTCTGACACCCACAAAAGAACTCAGATTATAGCAGATTCACATTGATTATATTGCTTGGATTTTAGTTATTTTATTACTATGAGATATAAAATCACATTTTACATGTAGGCTTTTAAGCTGACCTGTTCTGTCCTCAAAGTAAATGCTATCTTACATGTACTTATATTAGTGAGCTAGGAATTGACCAAAGGAAGACTAGCCAGACAAGTCCAGTATCACTATTGCTGAACTGAGTTAATCTTAGTTAGTATAAAAATGCACTGGAACAAAAATCATTTCCTTTTTGAATAACTGAGAAAAACTGATACAAAAACCCACTTCCACAGGCTCCAGATGACACAAATACACACAGAAGCTTTGCCTACTTAAGCTTTGAAGTAGTGCTCAGAGCAATGTCTGTCTGGGTGCAGGCAGTTCTTGTATTCTAGAAGGCTTGACAGGAAACAGCTTCAGTCCAAAGGTTGTCTAATGATGCTAGGAGGACAAGCCTGAATTATCATGCATGAACTACTCTCTCACAGGCTCCCAATATAAGTTGATTTCAATTAGCTCACTAAGGGCATAATGAGAAGACCTCAGTTTAGTTATTACAGAACATAAAGAAGCACAATGTTACTTTTGCAGTGCTTGTGAGAAAGCACTGGAAGAGTTTACAGATAAATTTATTCTGGAAGATACACTTTATTATAACACTGATGTGTGACAAAATAGTTGATCATCTAATCCAACTGAATCTTTTCTGTATTTTAATTAATGACAGAAAAACGAAAATATAAAATTAAACTGAAAAGGTTTTGAACCTACTGAGGCATGACTTTACAATTTAAGTACATCAATCAAGTAAACCTTACATATTTCAGGAGAAGCTAATTATTTTATTTTAGAAATAAAATGATGAAGCATTAATGGGACTGCTCCAAAAATGCTTTACAGCATCTAACGCACTGCTCATAAACAGTTTCAAAGTCCTTTTCATTACCCTAGAAAAGAAACACAGAAGAAAAAGAATGTAAGAACAGCAATACTGACTCAAAAAAATTTTGCAAACTACTTTCCTGCTGTCAGTTATGGCAAATAACTCACATTAGAGAAGAACAACAGTACAAATACTTGGTGAAAGTTTTGGCATATTTCTCCCTAATTTACTACCTGCAGCTCAGGAATTTCCACAGCCAAACACTGTGACTTTGTATTCAACAGTCCCGGAATGAACTTTCCTTTGCGTATTTCTTACATTCCCTTTTTGTGCCCTCCTGAGTCTTCTCTCTTTTTCTTTACGTTTACAGTAACCTGTCATGTTGAGTTTCAGTTTAATAAAGTAATAGATGGGAAAAAAAACCCCTACTCCACTTCTTTGTTTTGAATCCACTTCCCACTAATGCCATTTGATATTTTCTTCTTCTTGGGTAATATATAGAAAATACTTACTCACCTTTTCCTATGATACCAAGATTTTATAGAAAGCTACTCTATCTTCATCCAATTCTCTTTCCTAAACTGAAGAATCTTAATCTAAGTGGTTACTCTTGGCTGATATTATTCAAATTCTTTGACCTCTCTGTACGTGTCTTTGCCTCCATCTTTCCTGATTACATCTCCTTTGCAAGGAGGCACACCAGCCAGGGCTTCCCCCAATATTGAAAATATAGGCACAATGCACTATTAAATTAAGACACTGTTATAAGCATAAAGATGTTTTCCTTTCCTACCCAAATAATTTCTAATGTTTTGTTAAAGAATTAAAAAGTTTACAGTTGGCTTAGTGTAACATCAGATTATGTGTCACTTGTCAGCTGTGGGATCTAGGAAGATTATGTACTTTATATACAGCATTTTTATATCAAACCACCCAAAGAATTTCTTAGACATACATAGTATGGATCTTCAATGATAAGTTGCTTCTGTGGATCATAAGTTCCAAGTAGTTCAATTTTGGCCTTGCAGTCTTTAACTTGGTTACTTTTCCTTTTCAGATCTCTGTAAAAGAGAGTAAAATTTTCTCATTAATTTTTCTTCAGAACCTTTTTGGCATCAGTATGCAATGCTCATAACTGTTTCTTGAGAACACAGGAAAATAATAAACATCTGGACTCAGTCAATTCTGTGGAATGCTGCTGCTTGCTTTCATTTGTTTCTTGTGCATTTTGTTGTTGGTTTTTTTTTTTCTTTTACATGAGTATGACATATACATAAACTTATTTCAGAGAATAAATAAGCAGTCAGGCTCTGAACGTACAGCTTAACAGAACTTTGTAACAGTAAGCTCATCAGCTTCTTCCTCAAATCAGTCATTAGTACTTTCAATATCCACCTTTAGCTTATATTGAACAAAAATAATTAAAATTATCTAGATATTTTCCCAGAAGTATAAGTAAGCCTTGCCCACCCATTCAAAACCAGTGGTTTAAATTTGTGTGCTGCAAGTTCTCTCAATACTGCCTCTAACTCTTGTGAAGTCCCACTACATCCAGTAAACAGAAAATGGTAAATTAGTGAGCAGGACCTTTCTTCCCTTTCACATACTATTAACATTTAATCAGTTGTCACATCCTTTCTTCTACATTGCCTCCTACTGAGGAGGCAATCTTGGTTTTATGATGGTACAAAACAACCAAGACAAGCTAAGCAGTAAGATGTGACAGCTTGACTTAGGAGACATGACTACAAGTAATCCATATGAATTTTGTTCCATTTCTTCATACATTACCTTAGATTGCTCTCATCCATACAAAGTATATAATCAAAGGTCTGGAAATCATCTTTAGTAACCTAAAATTAAAGATATGTTATTTAGTCTACAAACTGTGTTTGATTTATAAAAAGGGAGGAAAAAAGTGTTTTCAAATTTAGCAGTTCTGATTCATCAAGAGGCACAGGTGGAAAGAATAAAACTGTGTACCTTCATCAACTTTTAGAATAACTTAAGGTATTTTAAATGTTGTCTGCCATGACTATCCATTTCTGCAAATTTTAATAAAAAAAAACCAAGTTAGCTATTTTACCAATACTTTTTTAAAACAAAAAAACCTCATGCATCACCTTGGAACATCATTACAAGTGACATTTTGAATGCTTTCCAGTTAATAAAACTAAAGCAGGTTTCCAGTTGTGGAAACCATGCAATAAAAATGAAGACAAACTACTTGATTGATAGGAAAAAAAAAAAAAGCAGGTACCCTGGAATCAGTTTCAATACTTCCAATCTAGACATTTTGTCACCGTACAGAAAAAGACACCAAATGAAATTCAAAGCTGAATTATGATGGTATGAGTTAAAATCTCTTAAAAACAAATGCACTCACAGTATTTTGGGCCGTATAAATTTGCAAAATTTATGGTATGATGTGAAAAAAACTGGTATCTATTGTACACCTTTCTACTATCACACTGTCTGTTCTTTTTCTCCGTAGCTTGCTGACTCCTAAAAATTAATATTAACTAAATTCAAAGATCCAAGTTCAGAGTCAGAGAGCAAATATTGCAGATGTTTGTTCAGTACCGGTTTTTTTGGCATCTCTGGGATGGATGGGCAAGAGAAGTAAGCAAGCAAGTGAACAGATAAAAAGCCAAAACGTATTATCCTGTAAGTCAGAGCTTTAACTTGTAAAAATTATTTCCCTATTAAAAAAAGGTTTAGATTACAAAAAAACCTCACTTATTTTCTGTGCAAATAGCAAATAGATACTGATTAAGCTTCCACAACACAAGTAGGAAAAGCTCTACAGAAATTCTCACCAGATTAAAGCCACAAAAGGAACATTACACACAGGGAGAATTGAAAAGGGGGAGGCAAGCATTTGATAAGAAAGGGTTAATGCTGAAAACTAATGCAGACTTTATTTTCACTGTAAAAATATTTGCTGTATTCATGCAATGCCTTTGACCTATGAAAATATTTTTGCAGTGGAAATAGCTCTGTTTTCTTGGCAAGTCTTAAGCAGTACCTCTACAAGCTACTTCTGATTGCTCTACACAGCTAAACACTGGCCCCTAGAAAAATATGTAAGCATGAATTTCTTTGTAGACAATATGTAAGGATAAAATAAAAACCAGTGAAAAGGAAAAACAAACCTGCCACACTTCCCACACTCTCTGTATATTTGACAACTTGACAGTTACTACCCTCTGAACCAGCACTAACACAGCTGCAAATGCAGCCCTATAAACAAGATTCCTGGTGCTCTTTAAGCCTTAGAGTATTACCAGATACAAAATCTTTAATTGAGCAAACTCCAGTGAAAATAAAAATTTAGGTACATTTTGAGAAGAATAATGGAGAGCACAAGTAGTCAACTTTGGATGGAATGACCTAGACAACAATAACTTTACATTAAAAAAATTGCATCTAACCATTATCAAAGACCTTCAATGGAGAAACAGATAATAATTTCAATTTATTTGTTGAACATTTCCCTTTGTTTACAGAAGGGAAATCTCCTTTTCTCTGTCTGAAAACCAAAAAGAGGCAATAGTCCTCAAACTCATCCAATTGTGAAACTGTTTAATACAGCCTTCCTCTAATCTCAATTTCATATTTAAGGCAAATGCACAGTATGAGTCACACAGAAATCAATTTTGGCCTCAGCATGAATAAAAGTGGAACTGATTAATACCCGTCTGTTTTGTGCATGAAGACAAAGAGCTTAGAGAATTTAAACAGGTGCATTAACATACAGCAACCTACCATCAACTGAAGGGTTAACAAACTCTTTGATTTTATATATAAATATGCACTTTTCTTTTAAAATTCTCTTAAACAACCATTGTATATGATAATAGGATGCATCCGATTTAACATTCACTCTTACATAAATCATACTTGCACCGTTTATAGGCGTTTTGAATAAAAAAAGATACAACACATGGTTATCATAATTACGTAAAAATTACATGAAAGAAAGTGCCTTTCACTGTGTGGATAACAGTTTTCCACAGGAGTGAAGAGGATAATTACATGAGGTAGTCATCTTCTGACAGCATTTTGAAGGCAACAGAAGACAAATTCCTCCTCTATTTCTGCAACTTCTGTATTAAATCTCCCTTACTTTGTCCTGAAACAAATCACATGCAAAATTCTCTGCTTAGTTTGTCTCTGATAGTGTAACAAATACACTTCCACTGGTACTACCACGATCACTTTGAGATGTCCTATTCTACACTGTTGAGTCCCTGTCTTTGCTGAAGTACTACAAGACCATATCAGGTTCACACTTCAGAGAATCAGCAGAGACCATTTGACAGAAGTTTGGAAAAAAAATTGGAGTTGCATAGTTAACATCAGTGCAAAATTAAGTTATCTGTAGTTTGTGGATTTGAAAATTTTCTTGAAAGAAACTGCTTGTATTGGGATATTTCAGAAGAATTTTCATCCTGTTAAGTCTCATTCTTGCTAATTTTCTCTCCCCGTATACAGAACATTTTAGGCTCTTCTGCTTTAAAAATCTCTTCATTTGCCAAAATGTATCAGCAAATGTCTTCATTACAGTATTTCCATTCCCTCTTTGCAAAAGGAGGATATATAGATTTGTTTCAAGACAGAGGATCAACTGGTTTGGGATGCTTTCCTTTTTTTATCTGCTCATAAACCACTCCAGTAAATACCCAAGAACAGTTCTTAAGTTTCCAAGGCTTATCTCTTAAGAACACAACCGTTACATTACTGTGACTGAAACACTGACTTTAGTTTCAGTACCATTTAGGTTGTATAATGGTAAATAATGCTCTTTGTTAGCACTGATAACTCGTAAATCCAGAACTTGTAAAAAGATCACAACAGACTTCTTCCGGTAATTATTCTAATAGTAAAACATTGAAAATGTGAAATGACGTTGTGCTCAACGTTTGTCTTATTATATAACAGAGATTAGTAGCAGGAGAAGTCAGCAGATGGCAATTGACTAATTGAGGGAATTTATTTTAAAAAGAAACTCAACATAGAATCTTTGAAAGCTAAGAAAGTAAATATGACCCTACTACGGTACAATAATATCCTGCAGGGAACTGAAATAGAAGATAATAACAAGACTAATTGATCTTTTTGTCAGTACAAGCACTAGTGGCATAAACTCAAGATAAGTAAAGGTGAAGCCCTCAAGGAATATCTTATATCCACAGAACAGTTAACTGAAGCAAGTTATGTGCATTAATTTGTGTGTCTGATTTAAACAGATACAGACACATTTATTTCCAATATTTCTGGAATGAACATGGAAATAGACATTTTGTTAAATGAAAAGTGAGATGAGTTCTGGTAAAATTAAGAGGATTTCACTAAGTGACAAACCTGACTTAAGAATGCTTAAAAGCTAAGTTTCTCTCTGAAGTTACTATCAATCATGCTACTAATCTTGGGTTGAGGGCCTTCATTCTAATTTAGCACTCAACATTTTTTTAAAAGATCTTCATGCAAGAGCAAAAGCTTTTTCTGATGAGTAAGCAGGTATTTTACTTCTTTTTGGACCCGCGAAATAAAAAGACAATTCCTTGCTTAAAGTAGAATCACAGATGACTGGTGAGACCATTTTTTAAACGTATTAAAAAATGTTTCTGAAAAGTGCCCAAAATATTAAACATTTGAAGGCAGGATTTTTCTGTAATGCAGAAAACACTCCAAGGCTTCCTACTTATACTTTCAATGAAGGTCAATAAAAAAGAAGCTCGCTAACCTCAACTACAAGAGTTGGACCACCTTGGAATTGTTTGAAAAACTGCACACAGTATTTATTACTTGATGTTTAACCATGCCTTGGTCAAATGATTTCTGTGACTGTAATGGTTAGGGCTAAACAAAACACGGGTATGAATAAGAAAGAAAAGATACTCTCTTCTACCTGCCGTGCTTTATGTGCTGTCTCAATGCCATGATTTCTTAGACAGCTTAAAGCCCTTGCATCTGGGGAGCGCCCCACGTTCCAGTCTGAAACAGCAGCACTGTCTGTCATCCACTGTAACAACAAAACAAATACATATGCACATTTAAAGAAAATTTAAGTACAGTACCTGCCTGGCAATATGATTCATGGTAATGCCATGCTTCTTCATGCAATTCTGTCCTCGATAGTCAGGAGGGCTTCCTATTTCATAGGTAGATGTCGCTGCACTGTCTATCCTCCACTACAGAAAAACAAATTCATATTTTTATGTTTCCTTTCTCACTGCTTATATTTCTATTAACTGGCTATGAGACATTTTGTTAGGCAGGAACAGAAATAAACAGCTTACCTTATTTTCAAGTTTTTCATCAGTTACCAGTTTTCTAAAAACTGCTTCAGCTATTGGAGAGCGACAAATGTTTCCTATAGAAATGGGAGATTAAAGTGAAATTTCAGACAATTAAAGCAAAAAATCGGCAATTGTGCGGTTTCGTCAGCACCGATCAAAGATTTTTAATTGCTTAGGTAGAATGTGGAAAGCTTATCTTGTTATAACCCAAAAGATTCTGTAACAGTGTAAACCTGGAGTCCTGCACCTCGTTTGGGACAATCTCCAGTATCAATAGAAGCTGGGGATGAAAGGGTTGAGAGCAGCCCTGCAGAAAAGGACTTGGGATACCAGTGGGTATAAAATTGGATATGAGCCATCAGTGTGGACTTGCAGCCTGGAAAGCCAACCAAATCCTGGGCTGCATCAAAAGACACATGGCCAGCCGGTCAAAGGAGGTGATTCTCCCCCTCTACTCTACTCTAGTGAAACCCCACCTGCACTATTGTGTCCAGTTCTGCAGCCTTCAACACAGGAAGGAGATGGAGCAGTTAGTGAGGGTCCAGAGGAGGGGCACAAGAACGATTAGAGGGATGGAACATCTCTGAGTGAGAAATGGGGTTGTACAGCCCGGAGAAGAAAAGGACTGGAGAGATCTTACTGCTATTCTTTGTATAAAGGGAGCTGTAGTAACAAGACAAAGGGTGACAGTTTAAAACTGAAAGAAAGGTAGATTTGTATTGAACATAAGGAAAAAAATGTTTAACTGCGAGGGTGATGAGACAGGAACAGGTTACCCAGAGAAGTTAGGATGCCCCATGACTGGAAGTTTTCATGGTCTGGCTGGATGGGTCTTTGAGCAACTTGGACTAGTGACAGATGTCCCTGTACATGGAAGGGCGAGTTAAGACTAGATGATCTTTGAAGATCCCTTTCCACCCAAATCTTTTTATGATTCTATACTATCCATAAGTCCTTGAAATGTATATTGTATAAAAAGATGTAACTTATAAGAATAAATAGGAGGAATATTATGTAAACACACTGCTGTTTTTTTCTCCTCCATGAAGAATACATAATCACAGAAAACAGAAAAGGCAAAAATACAGAATTTACATGGCAGCAAAGAATCCTTCTATACTCTAGGAAATTTTAACTAATGCTTTACTGGAGAATCATGAATATTTGCCTGCAGTGTTTACATTACTACTTACCTGTTAACAAAAACTTTTTGACAATTCCAAAACACAGTCACCACCACTGTGGAACCAAAGTGGTGAAATGGCTGAGCTATCTGTAGTAGAAATGCTTCTGACCACTAAAGTGAAGTTATTGCAGGTCAAACTGAACCCTCATCAAGAGCAGCTTCCAGATAGCAATTCCAAAACTCACAAGAATAAATGAATTACACAAGTACTAAATACATCCCAAGAAAATACACCTTCCAAATTTCAGGGGGAGCAAAATATGAAGGATTAGGAACAAGATGTTGCTGATGGCAAAGCTGAAATGCTGTCAATCAGCCAACAAACAGTTAAGGTACTTAATTATATAAATATGTAGACAGCCTTCCTTTCCAATAGCCTCCAATTTCACTAGCCACATGATCTGACCTTATTTTCAATAAGAACTTATTTCAACACCAAAATAGTCCCCCTATAAAATGTAGAAACAATGGATCTACAGCATTTCTGCTCCACCGCTGAAGCTGTAACTAATTTAATTATGTAAGGTAGATGTCTCAAATGTGCATGCAAACATACATCTTCTTTGAAAAAGAATAAAACATCTCAACCATAATAAAAAGTCTGTATGACTAATTTGAACTCTTCCTACCTTTTTGTCCTTCAGAGATTCTGAGTAACTAGATGGATCTTCACAATATTTGATATGCCACCCAGATTCACAATACATTGTACAAACAGTTCTTCAGTTTCCATGAAAGAGAATCTGCTCATCTTTGACTTTTGAGCAGGTAAGTATAAAATTACAACACTCATTTCTATACTTTTAAATAAGTCACTCTTCACTACTAGTTAAATTCTTTCCAAATCTCCATCAACAAAAAAGCTGAAATGCCCATGAACAAAGCTAAATTTCCAGCAGCCAAAAAAAAAAGTTTTCAAGTCAGGCACTTAACCTTATTTTCATACCTATATTTTCAAACAATACATCAAGGTAGAAACTTCACTGCTAAAGAGAAAGAAGCTGCTATGATCTCAGCATTTAATAACTTGCTGTCATTCATGCCAACTATAAAAAAAAACAAAACCCATACAACAACAAAGTGGAAAGTGAAGCACTGAAGCAATACAAATTTGTTGTAAAAATTTTGGAGAACATCACATCACTAAATGGGAAAAAAAAGAACTAGCTGACCACGGAGAAAGTGATCTTGCTGGAACATTAAGTGAATTTTGATGGCAGTAGATCTTCCAGGAGAAGTTCCTTTGTTTGAACTAATTTATTCCAAGCAGAAAAACTAAATCAGTCTTGGAAGAAAAATAAGGCTGGAAAAAGTTTGTTTTATTTATAAATTAAGTGAGAAAATAAGTAATACTTATTAATTACAAAAATGCTTAATATGGTAATAAATTAAAAAAAAAAACCTTCTTAAATTAAGTAAGCAGGTGAAGCATTAATACTATTTTATTAGGAAACAGAGGAAACATGGCACATCAGACAGAAAAGAACATTCATAATCAATGAGCCAAATCCTTTGATATTGCAGGTATATACAGTATCACTTCCCTTACAAACACATCAAGCTCTCTTTTAAAAAGCATCAATTATCTTAAAAGATCATTCCAGGTACTAATTTCCTGCTAGAAACCTTCCAATTCCCACTTAATACTTATTCTTGGAAGTCTGTGCTCATCTGATCTTGGTTAACAGCAGTATCTTAAAAATCCTTCTTTCCTTCAACAAATACAGAACCTTTATCAAGTATAGCTGTGCTAAACTAAACAAACCCGGCTTTCAAGTTTCCCCGTGAAATTAGCTGACCCTTATCTAATCACTTCAGTTAAGCCAACTCTGCACTTGTTCTGATTTGAATTTATTTTTCTTGAATACTAACAAATAAAACCACAGACTACAGTGCACTGAAAGTTTTTACCCATTTATTTTATAAAAGAAAAAAAACCTCAGAAATGTTTACTTTAGTCTTTTGAAAATAACCTGAGATAAGTTCTATAATCACATTTATGTCCTTTATGAGTATCAAATTTGCCATCATAACCCCCTACTCCTAATTTGTCCATCCCCTCTCTTTCACTGTTGCTTCAAATAGGTAACCTTTAAGTCTTCTTTTTAAGCTATTAAATTCTGTTTCCACTACACCAGCTGCTGAGGTCATCCACTTCCTGTAAAATATTCTTCCTCTATGAATAATCCTGTGCAACTTGTGCATGAACAGTAAATTTCATTTCTACATTCAGATTTTCAGTAATAAGTACTGATTAATACTGGTGGCCCTGCTAGTTAACTAGTTCCCAGAATTTCAAAATAGTATTTTTGAAATAAATCCTTCATGGCTTTAAAAATTTGTTTTACCTTCTGCTTTACCTGGATTTAATGTCGTTTCAAATTTTCACTCTTCTATAACCTGCTCACTACTGAAAATAAATACCATAAGTATCACCTTTGATTATATGATATCAAACTCCACAATGAATGGCACCATGACCATTGACTGATTAAGTAAATTAACTACCACTTCTAGCAATAACTAGAAACCGCAGTTATATTAGTTTTGAAATAAACACGTGTTCGTGACTTAAAAATTAATGTCTTCCATGATCATAGAATCATAGAATCCTAGGGGTTGGAAGGGACCTGGAAAGATCATCTAGTCCAACCCCCCCTACCAGAGCAGGGTCACCTAGAGTACATCACACAGGAATACGTCCAGGTGGGTTTTTAATGTCTCCAGTGAAGGAGACTCCACAACCTCCCTGGGCAGCCTGTTCCAGGGCTCTGTCACTCTCACTGTAAAGAAGTTTTTTTGGATATTCACCTTGAACCTCCTATGCTCCAATTTGCACCCATTACCCCTTGTCCTATCACTGGTCATCACTGAGAAAAACCTAACTCCATCTCCCTGACACTCACCCTTTACATATTTGTAAACATGTATGAGGTCACCCCTCAGTCTCCTTTTCTCCAAGCTAAAGAGACCCAGCTCCCTCAGCCTCTCCTCATAAGGGAGATGTTCCACTCCCTTAATCATCTTTGTAGCTCTGCGCTGGACTCTTTCAAGCACTTCCCTGTCCTTCTTGAACTGAGGGGCCCAAAACTGGACACAATACTCCAGATGTGGCCTCACCAAGGCAGAATAGAGGGGGAGGAGAACCTCTCTTGACCTACTAACCACACCCTTTCTAATGCACCCCAGGATGCCACTGGCCTTCTTGGCTACAAGGGCACATTGCTGGCTCATGGTCATCCTCCTGTCTACCAGGACCCCCAGGTGTCTTTCACCTACACTACTCTCCAGCAGGTCAGCCCTCAACCTATACTGGGACATCGTGCTGTTCTTCCCCAAATGCAAAACTCTGCACTTCCCCTTGCTGAATTTCATCGTGTTTCTCCCCATATGATGACATATTCCAGATATTACCAGAAGTATTAACACTATTATGGAACAGCAAGAACCATTAAAGTCTGTTATTGGCGACTATGGAGAGAATCCCAGAACTTACTTAACAGAAGCTCTTTTCTCCACATACTCTACAATAGTATTTACATCCTAACTCTGTTGACCCGTGCCATCGTTCATCATATCATTAATATAAAGCCCTATCTTATCTTACTGACATAAGCAAACTTTAGTCCTTGTTTCCAGTTATCATCCCTTTCCCACTATAATTTCGAAGCACTTCATGTCCAGTTTTATATCCCACATCTGTGTTGCCAGCCTTTGTCGAGGTTCCCCACAGATGCAAAATATTTTGTAAGTTATGGATTGACAGACATAATTGGGGAATGAAGGTGAAAATATCACAAAAATATTCACAGACTATCTTACTCCTTGGAGTTGAACCATATTTTCCCTAAATGTTATCTACACTTCACCTTTCCTACCTCACCTCCTCTGGTGCTCCTTTCTCCTTTGTTGTATTTCACAGAATCACAGAATTTTCATGGCTGGAAAGGACCACCAAGTCCAAACGTGAGCACAAAAAAACCCCAACACCCACCAAAACACACCCACAAAAAACCCTACAACCTCAGTCACTAGAGAATGCCCTGAGATGCCACATCTACACATTTCTTGAATACCTCCAAGGATGGTGACTCAACCACCCCCCTGGGCAAGCTGTTGCACTGCCTGACCTCTCTTTGAGTACAGAAATTCTTCCTAATATCCAACCTAAACTTCCCCTTCAGCAACTTTAGGCGATTTCCTCTGGTCCTATTGTTATTTACTTGGGAGAAGAGTCATTGTATTTGGCTGTATCTAAATGCATATAATGGGTGGTGACAACTGAACTAGGCAAAACTCAAATATCTCTGTAACTGTAACCTAATTTCCTCATACTCAATACATTGCCATATTAGAAATTATTTTATGCAGCCTAGCTCTCTGATGGCAATACTCATATTCAGTGGGTTCATAAGCAGCACTTGTGACGACCCAGCCAAAATCACTTTGCTTACTGTTCAAATGTCTTACAACTGTATCTCCATACACAAAGGAGTAAGATGCCCACGTAGCTTGTTATGTTATTGCAGACAAGTCATCAGAGTGAAAGAGGCTGCCTTACATAATACAGCATCACATTAAGCTCATTTCTGCAGCTCAATCATTAATTAGATTAGCTATATAAGTGTAAAGAGAGAAAAATGCATTTTTGTTCACCTCTATCCTCTGCCTTAGAGGAAAACAAAAAATGTCCTGGTGCTTTTTCATATACTGTAATTACATATGCTGCTGGGTGCTTCATTTATTTAACAGTGATGAGGAACTTTTATCATTAACGTGGTTATGCTCATTAACTAGATTGTATTTTGTTGTGTAATGAATATCTGTTTATCTCATTACAAACAAAAAACACAGCCAGTAGATATTTCAGTAATAGGTTTCTTTGAAAATAACAAAGAAAGAAAATTTATTTTTTTATGCAGGCTTGTACTTTCAGGGATCAGCCTTCACTGAATGTGGCAAACTTTGGAATTAATGTGCTTCATTAATCAGCACAGAATACAATAGATACATGCAGTTCTAGGAATCTGTTTAATACTGTTCTCAGCAATAACCACAGCTATTACTTCTAATAAAATTTAGGAGGAAAAAAATCTATTAAGGCATAAGTATCCCTCTTCAAGACTAACAAAAAGCATACAAACTTCTAACAGGAAAAAGAAACAAGTTACCTTCAAAACTTAACTGAAAAAAGTACATATTTAACTGGAAAACAAAAAAAGTGCTTATCATGTCAATTAGATTTTGTGTCACACACCACATACCATTATGGTTATTTTTTAACAACCATAACACATTTTTATAACCATAACATACGAACAGAAAAGACAAAATTTAAAAGGTATTGACAGCATTTTAAGAAAAAAAAAATATCTATTCCATTAATATTGGTCCTGACCTGTTCAACTTTTCCTCAAGCTTCATATTGATAACTTCACTCCATACCTAAATTATTATCTTCCACTAAGAACACTTCCTCATAGACTCAACTGGTTAGGATCTTATTACAGCGCACATCACCATCATGGGTTTACAGGCTGATAGATACATATGAACCATTTTGTGAAGATTACTACTGCCTTTGAAACACAGTATACGGAAAGAAGGATGGACGTTAATTAGAAGGTTTTATACAAAAATGTTTGTCTAGGCCACAGCTCCAAAACATACAGCAACTGATAATCCCTTAATAAAGAATAGTTTCTCTAAGTCATTATTAGGGGGCCAATTTTACACTAAGGTAAACATGAGGGCAGATTTCACGTAATTAAACTCTTGTTTTGCTATTAAACTAATTTGCATTTCTCCTATTACAACAAAAAAGCCAATAGCAAAAAAAACCAACACATACAAACCAGTGGTTTTGTAACAAAATTGGCAAAATGCCAGGAATTCACTGAGATCCATTCTCAACGCATAAGTAAGATTATAAGGGCTAGGAAGCAGATATTAAAAGCCTCCCTAGATCAGAACAAAGAGCCATCCAGCTTATCCCTAAAACAGAGCAAAAGCTGATGTTTAGAGGAAGGATATACAAAAAGGGGTACAGCCCTATAATCCATGGCCTCAGGTTAGCAATTTCTTGGTTGTGAAGATGCAGATTATAATCTTATCAGTAATCAGCTGTTTTAAGCTTCAGGAAAGCATCCAAACCCTTTCTGATCCGATTTACATTTCCGTTTTGTTACACGAGATTCACAACTTAAATGCGTAGAGTATCTTTAAAAAAACAAACTAAAAAACCTCCAACCCAAACACGTTTCCTAGTTCTTCCTTTAGGCAGCCCTTCAAAAAGGCATATTATTTTCATTCCTTCTCATCATTGCCATCATTTCACACATCAAAATCGTCTCCACCCTGCATCAAATTCTTACTTGTAAGTCCTAACGTATTTCCCCTCCTTTCCCCCTCCCTTAGTTCCATTAACTTCAGCCATTCTTGTCACCGTTTTCTCTCCCTTTTCCGCGTCAGGGGCTCAGAACTACACCCCGCCTCCGGGTGACACCGCTGCGGGGTGTCCCGCGGCGCCAGGACACCTGCCGGCGGCTCCTCCGTTCCCTCCTCCCCAAGCACCGAGCAGCCCGCTTCAGAAAGATGTTCACAGCCATCACTAAGGGCTGCTCTTGAGGAGCAGCAGTTATTTGAGAGCGCGTTTAGCAGC